TTTTTAAATTGGGTTGTTCTTGCGTTATACAAGCTCCTGGCAATCAAAATAAAGTTTCGCAATATTGTACACGGACCAATTCCGGTTTATACAATGTCGTTACATAATGTTTATTATAGCGCATAAATTTTACGTTATAGCTTACATAATAAGAATGCTATTTCACCTTTACTTACAGTAAATAGTAATTAAAACATCAAATCAAACCACCTTTTTAACACATTAACACGTTAAAGTACGAGCCCATTCCAGAGACAATGTGGTTCCCACTGGCTCGACAGGTTGTTACCGCTCGATTTATGGGGATCAACCGATATACAGTACATTCTTAGATAACGAGGACATAGTACCTAATCATAATCAACAGATAACGATCATTTTTGCTATTGTTGGCTAAACTATTTCCGCAACAAAATTTGGGATAATTACAAATCATATCTAAATTTATTTTAACACCAGTTGGTAACTTTATACGACAATCTTCTCTTTGATCTATTTTTATACCATGGCTCAAAACATGTCAACTCATTGTATCAAAAATAGCATACGGTTTGTGCATGATTACAATTTTTACCGTCTATTCATAAGAGACGAGTTCAAAAAATTTTTACCCTTACCAAAATTCTTGAAAGTAAACCAATTTGAACATGTGTTTAGAAACAAATTTCAGTAATTTGCCCTGAATGAATCTTTGCTGCCAGTATTTATTAAGAAAGAGGTGTCTTGTCGAAATTAATTTTTGATATCGCTATTACTCCCGCTCACAAAATCGAATAAATACCTGACCCATTCGCTCTCGCGTAGGCCGAGGTTAATGTGTCCCTGACAATGATTGTTTTCGCTTTAATGAATTACAGGGGTCAGACAATTAAATGGCGCTTAGTTTTCGATCCCTGAAATATTTTTCGCTTTTTGTCTGGTCTTTTTATGGACCTGCATCATCTTCATTGCGAAACGTCATTGCACTCCTTGATATGTTTCCCAAAGCCCATTTATGGACAATAAGCAACAATATCCTCGTCGACTTTTGGGCGGTATGGATAATCATAATCGGTTTTGTAGACAGATATGCAGCCCCGATCAATGGTTACAATGC